AGCGCAGCAGCAGCAGCAGCAGAAGTGTCGCTGCTGCTGCTGCGCCGGGGTGCTGCTACTGACGCAGCAGCCCCGCAGCAGCATGGGCCCTTCTGGGGCAACAACCTTCTTGGGGTTTGTGGGGAAACCCTAGAAGCAAAATAGAGGTTTAAAGAGGGTTTTGAAAGGGATTTGCTGCTGCTGCTGCTGCTGCTACTGCTGCAGGCCCCCCAAGGGCTACGAGGTGGAGGTACACTACGTGGGAAAGCTGGAAGATGGAACTCAGTTCGACTCTTCTCGTAAACCCTAAACCCTAAAAAAGGGTTTAACGGCGCAGAATGAAGCGCCCAGGGTCAAGGGTTCAGGCTTAAAGACTGAGGGTTTAGGGTTTAGGGTTTAGGGCTGAGGGCCCCGCTGTTGAGCGGGGCGACGGCGTCGAGACCACTGCTTGAGGGTGTACGGTTTAGGGTTTAGGGTTTAGGGTTTAGGGTTTGTCTGCAGGCGACCGCGACAGCCCCTTCCGCTTTGTGCTGGGAGAGGGCCAAGTTATTAAGGGATGGGACTTGGGGGTTGCAACTATGAGCGTTGGAGAGAAGTCCATGCTCGTGAGGGTTTAGGGTTTAGGGTTTAGGGCCTAGGGTTTAGGGTTTGGGGCCCAGGGTTTAGGGTTTAGGGTTTGGGGCCTAGGGTTTAGGGTTTGGGTTGCACGCGGGCTTTTGCTTGTATGCGTACGGCTAGCGGGCTGTATGGTTCGGGTCTGAGCGGCTAGGGTTTAGGGTTTAGGGTTTAGGGTTTAGGGTTTAGGGTTTGAGGCGTGCAGACAATTCAACCGACCTACGGGTACGGCGAAGCTGGAGCTGGCGGCACAATCCCTCCGAACGCGACGCTCAAGGTGCCAAACCCTAAACCCTAAACCCTAAACCCTAGTTCGGAGTAGTGTTTTAAGGTAGCATGCGTCGGAGCGCGGCGGTTCTTCGTTAGCTAGGGTTTAGGGTTTAGGGTTTAGGGTTTTTGGTTTGTTAAGTCTGCGGGTTTCTGGCTGCGCCGAGGGCCGCGGCTTAGAAAGAGCGTAGGAGGTTTCGAGGGAAACCCTAATTTAGGGTTTAGCTTGTGTAAACCCTAATTTAGGGTTGATTAGCGGGAGCCGTAAGTTAGGGTTGAGGTTGCGGAGGCCGGAATTCGGGGTTGAGAGCGCGGAAGCCGCAATTCGGGGTTGGCGTGCGTAAACCCTAATTTAGGGTTTATTCGCGGAAACCCTAATTCAGGGTTTGCGACGCAGTTCGAAGTGGAGCTGCTGAGCTTCCGCGCAAAGGCGAAGCAGCGCTGGGCCATGAGCGTCGAGGAAAAGATCCAAGCAGCAGCAGATGAAAAAGAAAAAGGAAATGCAGCTTTTAAAAAAAAAGATTTGGCAGAAGCAGCAGCAGCTTACCGCGAGGGTTTGGCGTTTCTGGAACACTCCAGCCACTGGAGCCCGCAGCAGCAAACTCTCAAGCTCTCCGTCGAAGTCTCCCTCAGACTTAACCTCTCCAAGTAGGGTTTAGGGTTTAGGGTTTGGGGTTTGGGGGTGGGGTTTGGGGTTTCGGGGGGCTCTGGAGCGAGGGCTGTGGCCGCCAGGGTTCTGCAGGGGCAGGCGGATTAGGGTTTAGGGTTTAGGGTTTAGGGTTTGCGTGCAGCTGCTACCTCAAGACCGGAGAGTTCGCGCAGGCCATCGACGAAGCTTCTGCAGCCATCAAGCTGGATGAGGTACAACAGCCTCCATTCTAGGGTTTAGGGTTTGGGGTTTAGGGTTTGTCCTGCAACGAACAGGGTCTAGGGTTTAGGGTCTAGGGTTTAGGGTTTAGGGTTTAGCTTTTGTGTAGGGGCGCGTGGCGCTGCGGGTCCATCGCGGCCGTCGTGGCCATCGCGCAGCTGCCGCCCGAAACCTGAAACCCTAAACCCCAAACCCTAAACCCTAAACCCTAAACCCTCGTTTGTGTGCAGAAAAACAGCAAAGCCTGGTACAGACGCGGAGTGGCCAGGGCTGCCTTCGGGCTGCTGGACGAAGCCCGCAGCGACTTGGCAGCAGCAGCAAGAATAGACCCTAAGAATGTTGAAATTCGAAATGAGCTCAAAAAAGTAGGGTTTAGGGTTTAGGGTTTAGGGTTTAGGGTTTAGGGTTTGGGGTTTGGGGTTGGGGCCCGGGAGCGGGGTCGGGGGCTGGCGCGCGGGGCGCGGCGCAGTCGAGGGTTTAGGGTTGCGCGTTAGGGTTTAGGGTTTAGGGTTTAGGGTTTAGGGTTTAGGGTTTGGGGTGTACGTACAGTGCAAGGAGAAACTGGAAGAAGTGCGCAAGAAAGAGAAAAGCACTTTTGGCGCAATTTTTGCAAAGGCGGCTCTTTATGATGGTTTGACAAACCCTAAACCCTCGTCGAAACCCTAAACCCTAAATTCTCGTCGAAACCCTAAACCCTAAATTCTCGTCGAAACCCTAAACCCTAGCTGCAGCGCTAAACCTTAGCTAGGGCCCGCGGCGCTACGCCCCAGCATAAACGCTAAACCCTAAACCCTAGCTTAAGCGGCAAACCTTAGCGTGAACATAAATCCTAAACCCTCACATAAACCCTAGGCACTAGCTTGCATCCTATACCCTAAACCCTTGCTGAAACCCTAAACCCTAGTTTCTGGCGAGGGCCACGAACTAGGGTTTGCTGGCCAGCTGCTCAGAGTGTTGCAGAGGGCCGGCCTTCAGCTCTAAACCCTAAACCCTAAACCCTAATTGTTTGTTGCAGAGAAAGCTGGCGTGCGCAACCTCGACCGCTGCCCTAGGGTTTTCATGAATATTCGTGTTGGCGACAAACCCGGTAAACCCTAAACCCTAAACCCTAACAAACCCTAAACCCTAGTTGCGGGGCGGCGTCTGCTGCAGCTGCCCGTCTGTGGCACCGCAGCGCAGTTAATCCAAACCCTAAACCCTAGCCGCTCTTTTCGGGAGGTAGTCGAAGCCAAGGGTTTAGGGTTTAGGGTTTAGGGTTTAGGGTTTAGGGTTTGCGTGCAGCCAAGCGGATTGTGATTGCGCTGTATCAAGACACTGTGCCTCGCACAGTGGAGAACTTCAAGTCTCTGTGCGTAGGTGAGTGCGAGGGTTTAGGGTTTAGGGTTTAGGGTTTAGTACTCGTTTGAGCGTTGCGGGGCTTGTAGGGGGTCGTTTTCCGCGGTTTTTTTAGGGGCGCGAGGGTTTAGGGTTTAGGGTTTAGGGTTTGGCGCGCAGGAGACAAAAAAGGCAAAGAAGGAAATGTTTTGAGTTTCAAACAAAACACTTTCCACAGAATCATAAAAGGGTTTATGGCGCAAGGCGGAGACATCGACGGCAAAGGGGGAGAAAGCATTTACGGGCCTTCCTTTGAAGGTGCATTAATTAATTATAATTATTTATTTATTTATTTATCCATTTTTATTTATTTTGCTTATTTGTTTCATTTATTTGTTCATTTCCTCTATTTATTTGTTTATTTATTCACTTATTTGATTTATTTATTTGTTTGATTGTTTATTTGCTACATTTTTGTCTATTATTTTCCGCTTTTGACTGTTGTGTTAGGCATTGTGTTAAACTCTAAACCCTAAACCCTTGATTTAGTTTGAGTGCTGCGCGACTGAAGTGAATTGGGACGTCGATTTGTGTTTTTGCACGCGGAGCGGCCTGACTTAGGGTTTGGAAACCCTAATTTAGGGTTTAGGGTTTGGAAACCCTAATTTAGGGTTTAGGGTTTAGGGTTTGGGGCGTACGTGCAGACGAGGCCTTCATCGACAAACACCTCCACAGGGGCCAACTCTCCATGGCCAACGCGGGCCCCAACACCAACAGCTCGCAATTCTTCATTACTTTCGGCCCCACGCCCCACCTAGACGGGTAGGGTTTAGGGTTTAGGGTTTGGACTTTAGGGTTTGGGGTTTAGGGTTTGGGGCTGGGGAGCAAACACGCGGCGCTGCTGGGACGCAACGGAGAAGCGCCGCTGCAGGCCCCGACCCGAGGGTTTAGGGTTTAAGGTTTCTAGGGTTTAGGGTTTCTAGGGTTTAGGGTTTCTAGGGTTTAGGGTTTCTAGGGTTTAGGGTTTGTGTTTAGGAAACATGTGGTTTTCGGCGAAGTGGTTGAGGGTTTGGAACTTCTTGACGACATGGAGGAAGTCCCCACGGACGCCTCCGACAAACCCGAGGTACGAACTCCCCTAGCTAGCTAGCTAATTAGCTAGCCAGCTAGCTAGCTAGCCAGCTAGTTGGCTAGCTGGCTAGCTAGCTA